ATAAAATTTAAACCACATATAGATCCCCACACATTAATAGTGGGAGACTTCAACACCCCACTCTCAACAAAGGACAGGTCAACAAAACAGAAATTAAACAAAGAAACAATATCTCTGACAGAGGTCATGAATCAAATGGACCTCACAGACATCTACAGAACTTTACACCCAAACACAAAAGAATTTACCTTCTTCTCAGCACCTCATGGAACCTTCTCCAAAATAGACCATACAGTTGATCACAAAGCAAGCCTCAACAGATACAAGAAGACTGAAATAATCCCTTGTATCTTGTCTGATCACCATGGAATAAAGCTGGACTTCAACAATAACAGAAATAGCAAAAAGCCTACACACACATGGAAACTGAACAACTTGTTACTAAATGACAGCTGGGTCAGGGAAGAAATAAAGAAAGAAATTAAAGTCTTCTTAGAACTCAATGAAAATGAAGACACAATATACCCAAACTTGTGGGACACAATGAAAGCAGTGCTAAGAGGAAAGTTCATAGCACTAAGTGCCTTCAAGAAGAAATTCGAGTCAGCTCATTCAAGCAACTTAATGGCCCACTTAAAAACCCTAGAAAAAGAAGAAGCTGACACACCAAAAAGGAGTAGACGGCTGGAAATAATCAAACTCAGGGCTGAAATCAATCAATTAGAAACAAATAAAACAATTCAAAGAATCAATGAAACCAAGAGATGATTATTTGAGAAAATCAACAAGATCGACAAACCCTTAGCCAAGCTAACTAAGAGGCAGAGAGACACCACCCAAATCAACAAAATCAGAAATGAAAAGGGGGACATAACTACAGACACTGAGGAAATCCAAACAATCATTAGGACTTACTTCAAAAGTCTATATGCCACAAAATTTGAAAATTTGAAAATCTAAATGAAATGGTCAATTTTCTTGATCGATTTGACTTACCAAAGCTGAATCAGGACCAGGTAAATCAATTAAATAGTCCTATATCCCCCAAAGAAATAGAAGCAGTCATCAAAAGTCTCCCATCCAAAAAAAGCCCAGGACCAGATGGCTTCAGCTCAGAATTCTACCAGACCTTCAAAGAAAAGCTAACTCCAATTCTCTTCAAACTATTCCACAAAATAGAAACAGAAGGAACATTACCAAACTCATTCTATGAAGCCACAGTCACCTTGGTACCTAAACCTTACAAAGACTCAACAAAGAAAGAGAATTTCAGGCCCATCTCCCTTATGAACATTGATGCAAAAATACTTAACAAAATACTTGCAAACTGAATACAAGAATACATCAAAGATATTATCCACTATGACCAAGTAGGCTTCATCCTAGGTATGCAGGGGTGGTTCAATATACGGAAATCCATCAATGTGATCCACCATATTAACAAACTGAAAGAAAAAAAAAACACATGATAATCTCCCTAGATGCTAAAAAAGCATTTGACAAAATCCAACATCCATTCATGTTTAAAATATTGGAGAGATCAAGGATACAAGGCACATATCTAAACATAGTAAAGGCAATATACAGCAAGCCTATAACCAACATCAAACTGAACGGAGAGAAACTTAAAGCAATCCCACTGAAATCAGGGACAAGACAAGGCTGCCCACTCTCCCCATATCTCTTCAACATAGTGCTGGAAGTCCTTGCTAGAGCAATAAGACAGTTGAAGGAGATCAAGGGGATACAAATTGGAAAGTAAGAAGTCAAATTATCACTTTTTGCAGATGATATGAGAGTATATGTAAGTGACCCCCAAAACTCTACCAGGGAACTCCTACAGCTGATAAACACCTTCAACAAAGTGGCCGGATACAAAATTAACTCAAAAAAATCAGTAGCACTCCTGTATACAAAAGACAAAAGGGCTGAGAAAGAAATTAGAGAAACAACACCATTCACAATAGCCACAAATGACATAAAGTACCTTGGTGTAACCCTAACCAAGCAAGTCAAAGACTTGTATGAAAAAAATTTCAAGTCTCTGAAGAGAGAATTAGAAAAAGATATGAGAAGATGGAAAGATTTCCCATGCTCATGGCTTGGCAGGATTAACATAGTAAAAATGGCCATCTTACCAAAAGCAATGTACAGATTTAATGCAATTCCCATCAAATTGCCAACACAATTCTTTACAGACCTGGAAAAAAAAATTCTCAACTTCGTATGGAATAACAAGAAACCGAGAATTGCTAAAACAATCCTCTACAATAAAAGATCTTCTGGAGGTATCTCCATCCCTGATCTCAAGCTGTACTATAGAGCAACAGTTATAAAAACTGCATGGTACTAGCATAGAAACAGAATGGTGGATCAACAGAATTGAACAGAAGACCCAGAAATAAACCCACACACTTACGGACACCTGATTTTTGACAAAGATGCCAAAACCATACAATGGAAAAAAGATAGCATCTTCAACAAAGGTGCTGGTCCAACTGGATGTGTACATGTAGAAAAATGAAAATAGATCCATACTTATCACCCTGCACAAAACTGAAGTCCAAGTGGATCAAAGACCTCAACATAAAACCAGACACATTAAATCGGCTAGAAAAAAAAGTGGGGAATACCCTAGAACTCATTGGTACAGGAGAAAACTTCCTGAACAGTACACCAACAGCACAGACTCTAAGAGCAACAATCAATAAATGGGACCTCATGAAATTGAAAAGCTTCTGTAATGCAAAGGACACCGTCATCAAAACAAAATGAATGCATACAGATTGGGAAAGAATCATCACCAACCCTTTATCTGACAGAGGACTCATGTCCAGTATATATAAAGAACTAAACAAGCTGAAAAGCAGCAAACCAAGTAATCTACTTAAAAAATGGGGAACAGAGCTAAAGAGAGAATTCTCTGTAGAGGAATAGCGAATGGCAGAGAAGCACTTAAAGAAATGCTCAACCTCATTAGCCATCAGGGAAATGCAAATCAAAACAAACCTGAGATTTCACCTTATACCCATCAGAATGGCCAAGATGAAAAACATAAGGGACAACACATGCTGGAGAGGTTGTGGAGAAAGGGGAACCCTTCTCCACTGCTGGTCGGAATGTAAACTTGTACAACCACTCTGGAAATCAATCTGGCGCTTTCTCAGACAACTAGGAATAGCGCTTCCTCAAGATCCAGCCATACCACTCCTAGGCATATACCCAAAAGAGGCTCAAGTACACAAAAAGGACATTTGCTCAACCATGTTTGTAGCAGCTTTATTTGTAATAGCCAGAAGCTGGAAACAGCCCAGATGCCCCTCAACTGAAAATGGATGCAGAAACTGTGGTAGATCTATACAATGGAATATTACTCAGCAATGAAAAATAAGGAAATCATGAAATTTGCAGGTAAATGGTGGGACCTGGAATGGATCATCCTGAGTGAGTTGTCCCAGAAGCAAAAAGACACTCACGGTATACACTCACTCATATAAACATACAATATAGAATAAACCCACTAAAATCTGTACATCTAAACAAACTAAGCAAAAGAGAGGACCCTAACTAAAATGTTCAATCCCCATCCTGAAAGGCAAAGAGGATGGACATCAGAAGAAAAAGGAAATAGGAAACAACCTCGGAACCTGCTACAGAGGGCCTCTGAAAGCCAGAAGAAAACAGGAAACAACCTTGGAACCTGCCACAGAGGGCCTCTGAAAACCTCTGCAGTATAGACTGTCAAAGCAGATGCTGAGTCTGATGGTCAACTGATGGGCAGAGTGAATGGAATTTTATGTAAGAAGTGGGAAATAGTAAGAGCTGGAGGGGATGGGAACTCCACAAGGAGAGAAACAGAACAAGATAATTTGAACACAGGGAACTTCCCCGTGACTCATACTCCAACCAAGGACTATTCGTGGAGATAACCTAGAACCCCTGCACAGATGTAGCCCATGGAAGTTCAGTGTCCAAGTAGGTTACATAGTAATGGGAAGAGGGACTGCCTCTGACATAATCTGATTGGCCTGCTTGTTGATCACCTCCCCCTGAGGGGGGAGCAGCCTTACCAGGCCACAGTAGAGGACAATGCAGCCACTTTTGATGAGAACTGATAGACTAAGATCAGAAAGGAGAGGAGAACCTCCCCTATCAGTGGACTTGGGGAGTGGCATGCATGCAGAAAGGTGAGGAAGGGTGGGATCGGGAGGGGAGGAGGGAGGGGCTTATGGGGGGATACAAAATGAATAAAGTGTAATTAATAAAAAATTTAAAAAAAAGTTGGACTTGGTGGCACAAAATTGTCTTTCATGCACTAAGGAGGTTACAGTAATAGCATCATGAGTTTCAGAGTAGCCTAGGTAAATGTAGAGTGCTCACTTGGCATGTATAAGGCCCTGAGTTCAAACTAATCACCACATAAGCCAGCCACGGTGGTACATGCCACCAATTCCAGTGTGGTAGAAACGGGAGTATCAGAATTCCAAGGTAATCTTGGCTTCATAGAGACTTTGTAACCAGCCTGAGATACATGGGAGCAAAGGAAGATGTGGTGAAGAGAGGGACAGAGGCAGAGACATAGAGAAAGACAGAGACACTCACGGAGACACAGAGAAGGAAGAGAGAATAAGAGAAAGAGAGGAAGACAGAGGTGAGGAGAGGGAGAAGTGTATACTTGTTTAAATATTCTTCAGGATCAGTGGATCTGTTCCCGTTTTTAACTGGTGCCACAAATACCCTGACTCACATGGCTTGTTAGCACCAAAGTGAAGAGCAATGAATTCAGGGAAAACTTAATAGTACTGTATTAAGCCTTCTTATCCTAACACTATCACAGACTACGTTTTAAAAGGCACCACATGGCTGGAAAGCACAAGAACTCACAGGTTCATGCACACTAGCAGTGAGGCCCTTCTGGAACAGAGTAAATCATTTTTAAATGTATCACACCAGGAAATGCAGAGCAGTGAGTCCAAGAAAAAGAAGCCCAATTCACAGGCAGTTTTCACAGAGGATACACTTCTGAGCATGCCAATGCTTAGGCAAGCCTTGGACTTTACCAGATTGTGTGCCAGAGGAAAGGCATGTTTTGTGAGGATCTCAAACATATCTCTTCTGCTGTGGCCTTCCTGCTTCAATGCGAACCTCAGGTTTCTCAAATCCTAGAGGCAAAGGAGAAAGCAAAACTGAGTGTTCAAGGAATATCATGATAATTAGCAAAAAATCTCTTCAATTAAGGGAGAAAATTCACTCACATACAAGGGTGATTTATCTAGACTTCTAAGAAAGCTACATTTTTATATGATATCTTGATATGTGCAGTTTAAGAAGACCTGGACACAGTCCTATTGTAGCCAAGAAAGTAAAGACAACGCACTTCCTCAGAAATAAGGCCGTTTCCAAACCAAAGTGCTGAAAAGACAGTGGAAACACATCCTAGAAAAAAAGTAGACACCCAGCCTTGCCTTCCTTGCCATCTGTTCTCTGTCTACCTCTACGTTCACTGCTTGCAGAAAGCTTTAATTATTAAACAGTAGTTAAGTCATATAACATTTCAAAAGAGTATCTGCTATCAAATATAATCTCAATATTGTTAAATGTGTCATTAAAATACAAACATTCTTCCTAAATGATTGGCATTTTATGTTCTCATACAAGTAATATAAGTAATAAACTTTTACTAGCCAATTCTACTTTCATAGTTCTATATAAACCACAGTAATGTATTCCATATTAGATATCATTTTACCTTCAGAAACTATAAATTAATGATTAAAGCCAGATTTTAATGGCAGCTCTCCATACACATTTCTTTATATGCAAGAAAGACTTTTAAAGTGAGCTTAAATGATATGGGATCCTCTAATATCTGTTTGCAATAAATATAGTATTTTACCTTGTTTTTAAGAATGAATGTTTTGTAGGTTGTCATTCATTAAAACAATCAATCACGGAACTCTGGGACTATCTAAGGATTGAGCTAGACCTGGCTCCTGCTACCTTACATACTGTAACAATTGTGTTTTGCAAAGGTGTTCTTTGTTGTTTATCAAAAATAGTGTTTAAAGGATTTATTTTACTTTATGTGTATATGCACATGTGCACAAATAGGTGCAATGTCCCTATTTGTGGGTACTAAATCTTACCCTCCAGAGTTAGAGGTAGTTGTATAGGTACCCAATATGTGTGCTAAGAACTGAAGTCATCCTCTGCAAGAGCAGCAAGCACTGCTAAGTGCTGAACCATCACTCTAAGCCAGGAATAAATTTAAGCTGCACAATTCTTCAGGCTCAAGGTCCAGTGACGTCTTTGCTAAATACAAGACATTCCAAAAGGCAAGTAATGTGTGAAGGAGACTCCAAGACCACTACCGAATGGCCTGAGATCAATCATTATGAATGCAGTTGGCTCCACAATCTTGTTCTTCCTTTTCTGCTCCTTTTCATTTTTATAGCACTGGGATGGAATTCAGGGCTTCGGGCATGCCAGGTGAGCACTCTACCACCCAGTGACACTTCAGGACCTCACTAAAGGCATGATACTGAAAAAAGTCCAAAAACCAATTTATACCATAACCCCGCCCCCTGCCAAATACTGGGATATCAGTTGTTAGTTCATGATAATCAGATGAAAGGAAAAGTCATTTCAATGGGACAAGGTAGACCCAACAGGTTTGTAAGCAACCTTGGGCCTAACACTGGAGAGCTACCAACTGTCAATCCACAAGGACCTGCAAGGAACTTTTCTTCTAACAGTCATAGAGCACTGGTAATTCTACAACATTCTCTTAACCACTTTGCTCCAAATAAGACTGTTTCCAAATCAATTGTGGTCCACCAGTGATTCAGAGGAAAACTTTTCACATGTTAAAGCGTGAGTGACTCAAGTCACTTTCTGCCATCTGATTCAGATGCAATTACAATAAAAAAACCTTTATTGTTAACAAGAAAACTGAAGTGAACAAGGCACACCATTCACAGACAGCAGATCACCTAGTCTAAAACACAAATAGGAGCATACACTAACTGTTATGTTGTACATGGTCCTCTCCAAGCTTGACTCATCATAGAACGTTAACCGGGAAAGAGCCTCGTGGTATAAGAGTATCCCTGTAAGATTCCACATCTGGAATCTTACCAGCTGGATCTACAATGATTATCAATAAATTAATTATCATTAAAGGACATGATGGTCTACCTTAATAACTATACTGTCCTTAAGCCAAGTAAGTAAAAATGGAGAAGAGCAAGAAGACTCTCTGGCAGTATTGTACACCATGCCTTTTTACAAAAAGACTTAAAATTGTTATCAGTGGTTATACAGGGCCTGAAGGGTGGAAATTCCCATATCCACAACACCCCTGTGGCTGCACAAGGTCCTTTGGAACCAAGAGCCACTCTGGATGTTGCTGCTGCTGAGCAAAACCCAAATGTGCACAGCTAAAACAGCCAAAAGTGTAGAGGTTAGTTCTGATTTGGGGCAAGGTGATCCCACTGTGCTTATTCCACTGCTGCAGAGTTCTCTTATATCAATGCCACACCTGATTCTAAGAAAATGGAGTGTGCCTTTTGTGATATAAGTGTTTTTTAGGAGGTAATTTTATAAGAAGGTTGTGCCTCGGCTATGGTAAGTGGCATATGGCTGTAGCTTCAGCATGTTGGAGATAAAATACAGAAAGATCAAGAGTTCAAAGCCAATCGTTGCTACATAGGGGTTCAAAACTAGTGACACAAATAAAAAAATGTTGCTTTAGAACATTGCTCTAAGGCCTCATCTATTTTGGGTTCAAATCAATTAAAAGATTGATTTATGTAATATTAGAAAATTTTCCTGCCAAGCTGTTCCTAAGTTGTTTGTGTACATTGTCTTATTCATTTTGGAGGATTAATATTTAAATATGAATCTTCATATTGATGAGGTAGCAAGTATCTTACTGGGAAGACAGTCACTTCAGTATCACCAAAATGTTAAGTACAGTGCCTTGAGTGTTTTTATTAATGTTCCTTCCCATGAATCCTTTGCCACAAAATGCAAAGACCCTTCTTTAAAGCAAATCTCAATACTTCTAGGCCTCGTGTAGTAGCCAGTAGCTGGCATGGCAGACAGAGCATGAAAACGACTTATATTCCAAGAGAAACAAAAGCAGCTGAGGTGGAGAGCAGTAGAGAAACTCAGGGCAAGAGTACTCCTTTGGTTTCTGGTTGCTCATATTCACGTTTATCTCTTACAAACTGGAGAGGAAAACTATATTGAATTCTCACTGCAAACAGAAGTATAGAACTTTGGCTTTTAGAAATTGTAGCACCAGAGACTAGGAAATGACTTGGGTTTTTTAAAAAGGTTCTTTTATTACTCTTCAGTACCAGCAAGGCAAGGCATGTCACTTTGTAAAGGCTTTATTTTCCTACCCATACAGAATAATGGGCTTTGGGTGGTCAAGGCTCAGCAACTTCAGCCAGGCCACTTTCTATAGCATCACTACAAAAACACTATTTTAATAAAACATATGGGATAATATGCAACAAATATCTTATGTGACCCTCTACAGTCTAAAATATTTGCTATCTGGACCTTTTCCTAAAAGAAGCTTGATGACCCGTGCACTAGCAAGATGTCTGACAGTCCCATGGGATACTTTCTAGTCTTGGCCTTTACAGCATCCCTTACAATCAGCTTTAGGATAGAAGTAAAAAAGCCTTCTGGATATCTTGACGCATATGTTTAAGATCTACTGGGACACATTATCTCCAAACTTCTTGCACCTCTTTCTAGAACTGAGCATAATGGTCTACTGATACATACGTGGAAAACAAGTTTCCTTACTAGAAACTTAACTCAGCTGTTCACAAAATGGTTAGTTACCTCCTCCTATTCGGAGTTCAGCTTTGGCATTCACTGGAGCAAAGCAGCGAAGCTCCCTAATTCTTCTGAAATGTTCCATCTATTCCATATCTCTGTGGGAGTGTTGCACTGAGGATAGAATGTGAAGTTCCTATATATTCTTGGGTGAACACAGGTGCTCAATAAATGTTTGCTATAACAACTGACTAAACTTTATCACAAACTAATTTTCCCACTTACCATCCAAAATAAAATACTAGGCCACTGCCACTGAAAATGGTTGTTATAGGTAAAGAAACATACTGTTCACAAAGGGCAAAATCTCTTCTATGACTCTTTCTTTTCACAGTATGAAGAGGACCAGGTGAAGACATATAGTTCCATAACGAGCCATAAAAACACTCTTACTCTTTAACTTAGTCATTTTACTTGGGCGAATATAATACAACTATTATTCAAAAGAAAGAAAAACGATGCACTTGAGGATGGTCAATGGGGCCAGAGGTAGCTAGGCATATACTATCAGTCAGCTCCATAGGACAGGCACGATATTATGACCAGTTGAGGAGGAGTAGAGTGAAACTAAGGTTTGAGAGTGTTTATCTCTAAACCTTTCTTCTGCCCCAATAAGCTAAAAAGCTGACCACTTCTTTGAGGAAGCCTCATTCTTGACCACAGGGTTCCTTGTATGGGACATTCGCCCCAGGCAATTTTTTGAACCTCAAATCACAAGGGAAGACCCAAGTCTACAACTTTAAATTAACAAGAGATTTTTGATGATTCTGAACTCAGAGATCAGCCTGCCTCTGCCTTCCAATGCTGGGACTAAAGGTGTGAACCACCACCACGGGAAATGATTTTGATTTTTTTAAGCCCATATTAACTTTCTACTCTTCAACACTGATGTGTCTTTTTCTTTGTGTAAGAAAGTATCAAATCTCTTACTTTACAAGTAATATCTAGACCATAGGAATTTTCTCCTCTACTTGTAGCGCCTCCCATTTTTTCAATTCTTGATATCACACCCAGAGGAACATCAAGTATTAGAGCAGAATCCTGTAATGGACAAAATCACAAGTCAGTATTTCTGTTAATATAATGAAAACATAAAAAAATACACGTAAAAATAATCATAAGCTTTCCAAGTATTTTTTTTTCTTACTTTGGTACATTAGCCATTTAAGAATAAAAGTAGGATACAGATCAGACATGAAAGAACAAGCATTAAAATAAGCAAGTATGCCATCAAAATGCATCCTCAAACATTTGACATTGCTTATAACTCTGTGGGCCTGGGGAGTAACTCACAGTTGGTTTTTATAGGTCCTTTCCTATGATGTTCTGACCTCCAGCTAAGACAGATCCTTACCTATTCTTCATGCACTTCCTCTATATCGAGGGCCATGCACTTTGCTCAAAACACTCCTGTTCCCTAGAGTGATCCACCTTTCCCAACTACTAAAATTCTTCTGACAGCTATAGCTCTGACTCTGTAAGTCTCACTTTTCCAACTGGATCATACAGAAATAGTAACCTCTTTCTCTGAGGAAGCATCTAAGAGAGATTCCTATGGTATTTGTTTCTCTGCCTTCTCACCATGAGTTTATTTCCTCACTTCAGCCAAAGCACCTTTTTCATGGGTTGATGGTCAAGCCAAAGACTGAAAATATGTAATCAAGAAAAGCCTTAAAAATATCCTATCTTTTGCCCCAATGATTGCACTCCTAAAGAATTTACACCAATCATTCAACAGGAAAACAAACAAACAAACATATAGATGAAGATGATCAATAGGGAAAGAACTGGCTAGAGCTATTAGTATAATTATGGTATCTAGAAAAATAATGTAAAGGGAATGAACATCATGCAAAAATACACTGCACCTGAAGTAACAGAAAATACAAAATCAAATGCATGGAGGTACAACGGTTCACAAACCCATTAATATTTATTCTCTCACAATTACACACACAGTGCACAAATCACACATGCACAGATAGACTTTAATCATATTCACTTCTCCCTTAACACTGAAGAACTATTTCTTTTGAACAAGTCCCTTTTCCACTTCCACGTCCTTTTTTGTGACCTCTGAATTTAGTTAGGGTTGCTTGCCTGAATATAAATGTGTGGTAATTCATGAGACCATGAGCAACTTATTAGCAACTATACCATTGAGGAATATGATTCTTCCTCTACCAGCAATTACTGTCTATAGCTCCTCTGGGAAGGATGGGGCCATATGAGCTCTTCCATGTTCCAATGGAATGTTGATGGGCTCAGTCTTATGCAGATAGCCTCTGAGGCTGGTGAGTTCAAGGGTACCATAGTTATGCTATGTCCAGAAGACAGCATTTTGCAGCACTCCTTTACATATTCTGACTCTTATATTCCCTCTGCCTCTCCTGTGATGTTCTCTGTGCCTTAGGGGGGTGGGTGATATAAATGTCCCATTCTGGGGGCTGAGTATTAACCTAACATCACTTTCACAGTGTTTTAGATGACTGACAGGAAAAGAATGGCCTTTAGGGATACAAGGAAAATTATTTCATTCATTTTAAAATCCACTCCTTAGGAAGGAAAGAAGGAAGGAAGAAAGAAAGGGAGGGAGGGAAAGAAAAGAAAGAAACACTGACCATTTTTTTTTCAAAAATATGTTTAGGTCATGTTTTTTCTAGAAATTCAAATTATAAGTCTGTGGTTGTATCTATACCATGGAACTAAATATATGTGCTACCCGCCCCCCAAAATTTTACAGGCACCTTGTAGTATAAGTAAAGCCAATCTCAAGATACAATGCTGTGTGATTCTATTTATGTGCTGTTCTTTTTGTTTGAAGTTTGCTTGTAGTCCAGGTTGGCCTTGAGCTTCCGTTCTTCTGGCTCATCCACACACTGCTGGGGTTACAGACTGTGCTACCATACCTGACTAATGTTCTTGAAATGACAAGACAGGGATTGAGCACAGAAAAGTAGTTGTTAGGAGATGAGGAAAGGAGAGCATAAGTATGAAGGATTATTATTATATATATTTGTGTTCTAACAGTTTCATGTCTTCATTACTGATGGTAGTTACTTGGTATCAAATGCCAGGGAATGAACAAAAAGACACTCATAAAACTATCATCACTCCAGGACTGGTTAACCGTACTTTGCTGAGCACTTCTCCCACTCCCACCCTCTTTCCCTTCTTTACTTGGATGTAGGTATATGAGAAACTATGAGATAGCTTCTCTCTCCATGCAGCTCTGGAGTTATAGCTATATGCACAGCTACACTGGTTTTTTACTTGGGTACTGGGGTGGGTGCTGGGATCCAAATTCGGGTCCTCAAGCTTGCATAGCAAGTGCTGTTTTCCACTGAGCCATCTCTCCAGCTTCCAAGCAACTTTCTGGTTGATCAAACGATATAATAGTTACTGGGGACAGCTGAAAGATTAGTACAAAATCATGTGTATTTGTAGTTATTTGGAAATAAAAAGTCAAAACATTTAAGTTTGGTTATCATGTGCAGAAAAACAGCACAAGCTCTTAACATGAAAAAGGTGACTCAAATCTAAGTTCTGACATTTATTGGCTGGAGAACTTGGAGAAGTCAGTGCTATCTCTAGGTCACACTTATCTGTACAGTGGTGATGATTTAAAATAATGGATCTAAAGTAGCTGGCAAAGTGCTCACTGATGGAAGCCAGAAAACAACTGGAGTTGTTACTGTTATCATTCTGATGATGTTAAAGTGTAGCTTAGCATTTGGAAGCCATGACTGTGCTCTGTATGCACAGCAGATCAGTGTGTTCTGGCAGATCTTTGTCTCTGCACCTGTAAAGAGGCAGAATGAGGTGTCGTATGCATTCCTATTAAATACTACCCATTTTGCAACATGACTGAAAGCAAAGTGCCCAAAGAGAAAACCCTGACTTAGTAACATATAAAAAATTGTACATTATAATGTATTCATTTCTTACTACAGTCTATCTAAAAAGCATATCACCATGCAATGCATATTATTTTTGAACTATGCTGAGACTTATGAGTGTGAACAGCATTCTTAAGTATCAAAAACTGACTCCTAAGTATATGCACTGCATGCTTATATAAGCCTGGTAATCTCATAGCAATCTCATAACAACATGGAAGCAAGAGGTCTGTCTTGTTTGTTTTGAAGGCAGGAAGATTAAAAGATTAAAAGGGAGAAAAGAACCTGCAAGATGGCTCAGTGGGTAAAGACACTTACTGACAAGACCTGAGTTTCATCTAAGGAAGCCATATGATGGAAAGAGAGGATCTGACTCTGGCAAGTGGTCCCCATGTGTTCCCCAAACCCCGGAACTAAAAACTTAAGTTTTATAAGTGACAGTATTTATTTGCTTGTTTGAAACAGGGCTTCAAGCTTTACAGCCCACGCTAGCCTGGAACCCACTATGTAGATCAAAGACTAAAACCAAACTCCTCACTGTGATCTTCTTGCCTCCACCTCCCAAGTGCTGGGATCGCAGTTGTGAACCACCAGAATCAGCTGTGAGAGAGAGCTCTGGTGTTCTCTAGTTGTTATATATAAGTAGATCTCAGACTACCCCGGTCCAACAGAAAGCAGAAACTAGGCAATGAGGAGAACCAGCCAGCTCCTCACCCAAAGCACCCAGAGTCTAATGAGGCTATTTGCTATGCTCTTGCTGAATGACATGTTCTAGGTTTGATAACTCAGCAGGCTAAACAGGAAGATCCAGGAATAGGAAAAATTAGCCCAACTCTCAGGAAACTTGAGTCATCACTATATAAATATCACTAAATATTGAAAGAGTCTCAAAGTTCATTCTAACTAAAAAACCATGTGTTTCTGTTCCTTCAAGACTCCAAACTAGTTGAGAAGAAATATGATAAGCCAGCAAAAATAATGTATTCACCTTCTCTCTTGTGAAGGAGAACAGAGAGAACTGTACTGGGCACTGAGGTGTGTGAAACTAAGTTGTAGAGTTGCCCTTCTGGATCTTAGGGCTCAGCTCTATCTAGGAGATAAGACAAGGATACCAAAACAGCAAGATATCAGGTTGCTATGTGCCAAGAGCCATCAGAAGAGTCCACCCAAAATGAAACGGGATGTCAAAGAAGGGCAAGGTAGTATCTTACTGTTTGGACTCTGTTAAAGTTCTGTAGTGAAAACTTCATTGGAATGAAATAACTATAGTTGGAGATTAGCTGTCCAGAAATACCTTAGACTTGCATATGAAGAAAAACCAGGCATTTTATAAACACACACATAGCCTGGATTTAAGATCCAGCACCCTGAATTCTCTGAGGAATACTGGCAGGACTGGTTCACTTGAGAGATAACCACAGAACATTTTCTATGAAGAGGGTCCATTGTTATTTCAGGAATAATCAGGGAACAATACAGAGAACCATGGACTAGCAAGAAGAGGGCTGCTCCCAAGTCTCCATATCATGGAAGCTAGTGCTTGAGTTCAAGTGGAGGGCCAGGGGGATCTAAGAGTAGATAGGAACAGGAGAAAATCAGAGGTGATAACCAGCCTGTGGAGGGATCCAAGATGATTGAGAGTTAGGCCCAGATCTCAGATGGACCATGATGGCCTTGTCAAAAGATATAAAGAATATGGGCGTGAAGAGAAGCAAGCAGAAAGTATACTTTTGATACACTACTGGAGTCGACGATATGGAAAATACTAGGCAAATATAGAGATACTTCATGTTCAGAACATCCAGAATGAAACACCAAACAATGGCCTCTTCCCATGTTTTCTATGTTGGTGGCTGATATCATCCAGCTAAAACCCTGTCATCTTTGACACACACCCTTTTTTTAATTACCCTTAACTCATTCTTCCATATCTATCCCTTAAATCAATTTTGACCTGCTAACATCTATCCAACTCTGCCAAAAACTCCTCTAGGCCACTCTAGTGGTCACTGTTCTAGTACCTTTGAAACCAACATTGTTCCCTTCATGAGCTGCAGTGACACAGCAGCCAGCACCACCCAGAAAGCTATCAATCTTCTTTCTCTTTCAAAAGCTCTATAACACTGAATGCTGAAAACTCAA